ATTTTCTTTCTAGACCTTGTTACAGCTCTTTAATGCTCACCCTTCCCAATCCTCGCTTCTAAATTTACTTTCCTTTCTTGGAAAAACTTCACCTACTCTAATCCTCTGCTATTTTGTTTTATCTATACTGTCTCCAAAATATTTGTAGTAACATAAACAAGTTTGCTACAAAATAGCACCCTACTTGTGAATTCTGGGTTCTTTAAACTCTCAGGATTGAATTCTTAGCAAATTTCAGTTCATAAATTGAATTTCAAGTCACCCTCACTTTTTGAAACCCTTACTTTCCTACAAAAATTGTTTTCTTGCAAGATATAATGCATCTTCAAGGATGAACAGTAAAATACATGAAGTCCATTAGGCATACAACTTCCCACTGATTTCTTTATTTCTTAATTTTCCTCACTACTTCTGTACTTTTGTTTTTTATATTAAACAGAAAACAGGGTTCAAACTTACTGCTTTGCAAAGCAAACACATAACTTTAAAACTAGTTAAACTGATCTCTTGGGCACCAAATGTCACCATAAAACAGCTGATTGTGGAAAATTTACATTTTTCTACTCACCAGTTTCAGAAGTTCTCACCAGAAGTGGGAAAGATGACTGATTCCCATGGCCAAGTCTGGTGAATGCCCTGACAGAGATGTTGTAGAGAGTATACGGTTTCATTTCGCCTAGTGATATACTTGTAGATGAGGTATTTTTGATAAAGAAATCATTGTAATCACTGTACAGAACTTCATAGTGAGTTATGAGACCATTAGGCTGCTCAGGTGGTAACCATCTCAGGTTTATTTCTGTTGCAGTTACATTTATTAACTCTACATTTTGGGGTGGGGAGTCTGGTTCTGCAACACAGAAATCAAAGAGAAAAAAACTTCTGAGACTTCCAATTAATTGAATATAGGACTGATCTCATAAACCTATTGAGTCCTAACATTTAGCGATCCTGAAGGCTACCGTAGCAATATGTATGGCTAACTGTACCAAAAGGGCTACACTCACTCACTCACTCACTCACTCACTCACTCTTCTTCTCAAAGCTTTATCAGTTTTATCTCAGTTATTTTCTGCATTTCTTCTTTTTCACTAATAAAACTAGGCATCTTTTTGCATCATAGACAATAGCTTTTCTGGAATTTATTTTCTTATCCACTTACAAATCTACCCAGACCTGCATCTATTAAGAAAAAAAACTATTCAGTCTATTGCTTTCATGCAGACTGATCCTTCAGATCCTCTCATTGGCTTCCTTGAATTCAAGTTCTTTAATTTTGTCTGAATGCTGTCTTAGTGCTTTCTTCTTAAATAACCACCCCTCTTATTTTACTCAACCAACCACTGAGTGAGGAAAGGGACTGTAACTAAATTCCCTTTAGTTTACTGATACAGTTGCTAATTGATGACCATGAAGACCCCAGTGTAAATATCGCATGTACTGGTGTGAAGGTCATGCACAAAGCAAGTCCAGCTCCAGGGTAGTGTGTTGGCTAAGTCTACTGGCAACACATCATTTCATGTGACTCTAGTGAGCTAATAATGTATGTAAGTGTTGAAGGAGTGAGTGGGTTGCACTTATGAATAAAATCAGGTCTGAATGTCAGCCTTGATGCCTCTGAAGGCTTCATCACTTTAACCCTGAAATAACCTGTCTATAAAATTTTAAAAGAATGTAATAACAACCCAGGATTACGAAATTCAGTTTGTGTACAAATACCTATATACAGGTATTTCAGGATTTATCTTATTTTTTTGGCCTAAAGGCCCCACAAAACATTTTCAGTCCTGATTTCTGAGCCCTTGAATGAAAAGTGTTAACTGTGACATATCACTGCTCTGGATGGCGGGACTGCCCACATGGATATTTCCCATGCAAAGCTGCTTAATTTTCAATTGAAATGCATTTTGCAATTTATCTGATATGAAAGAGTATTTGAATGCCGCTGCCTAGTATCTTCCATCCTAACATAAGTTATCTAAGACAGATGTAGTGAATGTTTTATTTGGTGATATCTCTCTTTTCAACTTTGATATTTTGGTATTTTGGTTGGCTGGTTATTCAAATCATCTAAGCTTCATAAATCCCCATAATTTTTAATCCCATAATATTTTTGTCTCTTTTATTCCCATTTAATTACTCTTCCTGTATTGTAGCATATTTGGCAATGAGAGAGATAAATGACAACTGGACAGTTACCTTCTTTATTACTTCGATAAAAACTGGAAATAGCTTTCTGAAACCAGTGAAAATACAAACCTGATATAAATGAGAAAATATTAAGATTTAACACTCCTTACTCTGCTCTGTAAATTAAATTCCTGCCTTCTCTTTGCAAAGGCAAAATCCAGGTACTGCCCCCACTCTGCCTTCATATGTGGAGACTGCCTTGCAAGCAAGCAAGGTAGATTAAGAAATCTTCATAAGGTAGTATTATACCCTACATTAAAACTATTGATCAGTCTAGTAATAAAGACCCAAACCTGTATAAAAGTGACTGCATATAATATCATTCAGTATAAAAACCCCTCACTTTGTCAGTAGCTCTGCCTATAGACAGCAATATGGCTTCTGAATTGTTGAAAGCCACCATTTCCAGATGCTTCAAAACCAACCTAATTTCCATATGGTAACATAAAAAAAAAAAAAAAAAAAAAAAAAGAGAAACTGGAGTTCCAAAGATAATTGACTATAGTTTAGATGGGGCCTAGGAACACACTATTTTCACTATTTTTCAGCTCTGCAGCTTTCTTCCCGTTTGTCTATCAATCAGAGTTGAAATTCATTGATTTCTGGTCATGCTGCAACTTCCATTACTTCTAGCACCTACGTGCAAATGGGCTGAATGATTCACTGACTGATAGAATACTAATAATTTCAACATTGATTTTATTTGTGTACTTTCTTCCTCTCATTACATACATGCCCAGTCTTCTGAAGAAGCACAAACTTCAATAGAAATCAAATAATCATTGCAAACAATGTATTTACCGTCTTCAAGGGTTCTCACGAAAACATCATTCTCTTCAGACAAAGCACTTTCTCCAATTGTTGTAGAGGCTGCAACTCTTATTTTATAATTTGTGTACTTTTTCAAACCTAAAAAGATCAAGTAAAAAATTATTGACTTTTGACTTCTTAAACAAATTTTTTTCCTCATAGCTACTTTTAAAACTATAAAAATGGTTACTGTTCTTAGAGGTTTTGATGCACATTTGTCACCTAAAAGACAGAATATGTATAATACCTTTTATTTGGGAAAATAGGCCAAATAGGCACTCAGCCAATTAAATAGATTTTTAAATAAGTCAACCAACTTCAAACCTGCAAATAGCTTTAAGAATTTATTTGTCAAAATAAAGGATTTACATGTGTACATCCAAAAATGCCTGAAACCTCATGAGGAATGCATTTTCTTCAATTACTATCAAAATCATCAACTTAAAAAAAGAAAATTATTATTAATGTCAGACAAATACTGTGAAAAAAATTCAAGTCTGAAAAAGAAATGACAACTTAGGAACATTTTCCTATGTGGAAAGAAGGGCCTGAGGAAAAAATTCCAAGGAAACCCTATTTCACAAATTACTACTCAGTACATTTCACAAATTAATACTTTGCACATTTCACGAATTACTACTCGTCTTATCTAGTCCTCTCCTCCCATCTCACATTCCCTGTGTACCCCTCCACAGTAGACAAGTCTGTCAGTAGTGTCCCAACTTTGCTTTTACATGCAGCTGTGTTCTGTGTATGTGGATGTGTGTGTGGATGCGTGAGATTTGCTCCACCTCCCTTACAAATGGCTACATTACATAAAGCTGGAAAAAATAATTTAGTATAACATATTTGCGAAATTTTTTTAATCAAATGACACTGTACCTGTTATAAGTAAGCTGTTGTTGGAAGTTATTGTGTGGAATGCTCTTTTTGTATCCAGTTCCATTGCATAAACAGTATAATGAATGATTTTCCCATTGGGATTTGCTGGAGGATCCCAATATAGCAAAACAGAGGAGGAGCTAATATTCTTGTAAAATATATTTTGTACTGAGCTTGGAACTTAAATGAAAATAGAAAAATAATAAAATAAATTATTAAAAATTAAAATGTTCAGTGAAAGAAGTCATGTATGTAACTTATATCGGAGTTATAACATTTTACCTTGCTCATGTGTCCTGACTGTGAGAACTGATGGTGGCCCTTCTCCAACAGCAGTGAAAGCAGATACACTGATTGTGTAGTCTGTGAAAGGTACAAGGCCCTTTATAACATATGACAGTTCTTCATCCAAAATGTTAATTGTATGCTGACTACCTGTGATTAAATGGAGATAAATAGTTATTTACTCATAATCTCTTTTTTCTTTTGCATTCTAAACTCACTTTGACATGGTGACCTAGAACTACTTTATCAAAAAAGAATTAACTTTCATGGCAATTACAAAAACATAAAGAAAAATTTACACTGTCTCTTAACTCAGTCAAAGAGAGGCTATTATATGTGCACTTTCATGTGTACAGTCCGCTCTGCTTCTCAGAGGTCTTGTATGAAGTATAGAGTTCAGACAG